CAACTGAACTATGATTCATATTATGAAAGCAGCTCCAAAAGCCTGCCTGTTAGCGTCATTGAAAATGGTGCACTTGCTTTAACTGGATGATGGGTTGATTGTTCCTTTGTGTTAAATCTAATCTAATTTTATTCGTAAAGCATTATTTCATAAAGAGGTGGTTCAAGGTGTGTTCTTGCAGTCCTTAAAAATTAACACAAGGTCTATTTACTTTGCTTTTTAAAAAGACTGTGATTGGTGGACTGATGATAAATGCTATCTCACTTCACTTTGAAAAACCCTAGAACAGGGGTAGGCAACTCCAGGCCTCAAGTGCCGGTGTCCTGCAGGTTTTAGATGTGTCCTTGATCCAACACAGCCGACTCAAATGGCTAAATTATCTCCTCAACATGTCTTGAAGTTCTCCCGAGGCCTGGGAATGAACTAATGATTTGATTCAGGTGTGATGACATAGGGTGATGTCTAAAACCTGCAGGACACCGGCACTTGAGGCCTGTAGTTGCCTACCCTGCCCTAGAACATGTAGAACTACCAGGTGACCTAAGCGGTCTAATAGGTGTGTGTACTGAAAGCATGTTTGGTACGTATTAAAAAAAAAAAAAGCACTTGTTATGTTTGAGATGTTTGTTTGTCAGCAGGTGACAGCCTTTTGATAATTTTCTATACAGTGGAGGTAGTAATTATTTGATCCCCTGCTGAATTTCTAAGTTTCCTCGCTCGTGCCTGAGTATGTTTCATCGGGAAATCTACGACTAAACTGACGTGCACCTCCAGAGAAATGAACGCAGCCCGCAGCTATTGTGGTTGTCCTGTTTCACCTGATTCCTCCTGTGCATTTTTTACTACTTTTTCACCCGAGTTTTTGAATTTATGAGCGAGGCACTTGCAATCGTTGCCTTAATATAATGAATAACAATCATAGCATCAATTTCTGCATAAATGTCTGCAAGCTCTTGGAGCGAGATTGGTGCAACTGTCAGAGAGGATGTTAGGGGCTGTATAATGTATAGATGTAACCATATATCTTGGATAAAAACTAAAGAATGCTCACTTACAAAGAAATGCACAAAGTTACAAACTCTGGACACTGTGGAGCAAAATAAACAAAAAACACTATAAAACATATAGCCTTCTTACTTTTAGTTCTAAATATATTATGCAAAACGTGTAAAAGACAACCTCAACTGGCTTTCTTTAACAGACATTATGCTGAGTAAAGCTAGCTATTCATATAGCATGACAGTC